TAGAGAATTTAAAGACTTAAGGTAAGTTCTATAATAATATAAATTCTTGAAATTAAAAAGGATACTATTTCATACTCAACCAACAATCGAGTGTAATCTAAGACTAGTTATGTATATTGAAATGACACATGATGGGGCCGCCCCGTGGCTTAGCGGTTAAGTGCACGTGCTCCACTGCTGGCGGCCCAGGTTCGGATCCCGGGCGCGCACCGACGCACCACTTCTCCGGCTACGCTGAGGCCACGTCCCACATACAGCAACTAGAAGGCTGTGCAGCTATGACATACAACTATCTACTGGGGCTTTGGGGGGAAAAAAATAAATAAATAAAAATTAAAAAAAAAAAGAAATGACACATCATATTTCCTACAAATTATCTTAAAAATAATAATAAAAGCAATAAAGATTTTTTTTAATAAGGGGATAAAAAAAATCTTAGGGAATTGCTACTCAAGCCATGACTCACTAAATAATTTTGTAACAAGAAGTTTGGAATATTTTGCCAGGGTCATAAAGTTATATGTTCTTTACTCAAATTTTATAACAAAAATTTACCTTGTAAGAAAGGAAACTCATGTCAGAATTTATGTCCGCTTCTTAGGAAATCAATAAATGTAATGCAATTTTCTATATTTTTTGAACAATCATGACTGATATGGCTTCAACTAATATTTATTGATGCCTACTTTTTCCTAAGCCTGGTACTAGGTTCTTTCACCTATAGTATCTTATTTAATATTCAGAACAATTCTGCAAGACAATCATGTTAGTACCCCCATTCTGCAGATAAGACATGTGCTCAGAGAGCTTTCTGACTTACCAAGTACTACACAGCTAGGATCTAATACAGTGAAGAATCTCCATGCCCACTGAGCTTGCCAATAACAAAAACCCTAAGACACTGGAAGATTTTGGTTACTAAAATAAGATTCGTTATGATTCATTTTATTTACTCTGGCTAAAAAGTGTACCCATGAAGTGTGGAAAGATTAGCAACAAAGTTGAAGCAAAAGATTAGGATGTTTAAGAAGCTTAATCTTTAGCTAGCCAGAAAATTTAGTTAGCCAATACACCTTCCCAAAGCATTCTATTTAATCAACTTGTTAATGCATATATAGCAATTTAGCCAAAGGCAACAAAGTAGTATCTATTAGAGGGCCTAGCAGAAATATTTTAATATATACGAACGGTTTATCATGACCATCAGCCTTGTTTATATGTAATTTATGCTTCTAAAGTATTCGAGGTCATTTTAAAGAGGTTTGTGAAGTATTCTAAGCAACCTCTGCCCCTCTAATTTTTATAATTAACATTATTTTCATAACCACTCCAAAAAGATTTTGCTAAACAGAATAGACCTTTAGCCCTGTTATGTCCAAATAATCGTAAATTTAAATTAATGAGCTATCTCTTTATACTTATTATAACTGTTGAGCATTCTAAATATGGCATGCATTTTACTCAAGTGCATTTTAAACACATATCTCTATCACGCAGATAATTCAAAGCAACCTGATAATCACCAAATACGATTCACAATATTTTGCCTTTCATACAGATTTAATATATTACTATCTCTATATTGCGTTGAATGTGAATTTTACTAAACCAGAAAGCACGTAGCTGCTTCTCCCTTTGGGTGATACCACTGAGGGGAAATTCTATGTGTAAGGGTCTATCACAAAAATTTGTGTTCTTCACAAATTTAGACTTAAACTAACGAAAATTCTGATAGCTTACGGCTGCATATGCTACTTGGATTCATGGAAACAACTCTGAAACTTTTGCCTTTTACTGCAGTCTCCTGAGAAGCACAGCTTTTCTCTTTTGATCTCCCTCTTTGTGGTTTGTAAACATTAGGACACTAAACGCTTAGGGGGCTAAATCTTATTGAGAAAAGTGCCTGTTGGGAGGCATTTCTCCACGGGTCTCCTGTGTTTCCACGAATTTTCTGAAAAGGCACCAACGCCTTTCTTTAGGACTAGCTTTTCAAGGATGTTTGCATGAGGAGGAGATAGTACCTCCCTCCAGAGGAAAAAGCAGGTTTGTTTCCTGTCCATGATAACGATAATGACACTGTCCCTGGCAGAGATCAGAAAGGCTTATGCCAATAGAAGTTCTGAGCTCCTTAAGCTTGAGGTCTCTCTCCTGATAATACAACCAGCTGCTTGTGCCCATGGCACCCAGCCCTCCTCACATCGCACTTTGGGGACTGAGGCTTGGAAAAAGGGCACCAAAATGCTGATACTCTGGCAATTGCTATTTTTGTGAGTAGCTGTCTCTGTCTTTGTCTCAAGCTGTGTTTTCCCTCTGAACCAGAAGCCTGCCTCCACCAGCATCCATGAAAATCTATCAGGCTAACCAGTTAGCTTGCAAGCAAGGTAACATGAGCTTCCTATTTTGTGTTAGTGGTAACAATTTCAACAAAGATTGTGTTATCTGGCTACTCACTTTCAAAAAACAGAATCATATCTGGGATTTCTATCTTCCTATCTCTCTACATTGGTCAGTCTAGTATTCTTGCCTGATTTGAGGAGAAATTTGCCATCTTCCTAGTCCAAAATTCAGCTAAACACTTGGCTTTTTCTTGTTTTATTCATGATCTTTCTCTCTGTCCTCTAGTGACAGAATCAAGCAAGTTTCCCTTCCTACTTCTTCTTCTTTAAACAAAGAGAACTTTTGGCATGATTTTCTACTTTGAGATGAGTAAAATACAATTTTTCTCAAGATTACCCATTCCTTCTATAAATCACTAACATCCAATCCCTTCACCGTTTCATCATTTATGTGATTTTGATCTGATTGTGTGACCAATCCTAATCTGATGTGAACATTCCTGTATATTCAGCAGATTATTCTAAATTGATAGCCTGGTATTATTTCAAATTTTATCAACAACTCATTTTATCTCCTATCTAAATTCTCTCTATCTTGATTATAAATATGTTTAGCATAACTAAATCCTTTAATTCTTAAGAGACTAATTTTTCATATGGATTTTCTGCAGAAAGCATTCAAATAGCTATCGACATTTCCCTATATGGGATTAAGTCCTTCCTAGGGTGGGGTAGGCAGGGGGCGGATTTCATCTCACCTTAAAAATACATTTCACATGAGTAGTACTGCACCGAATGTCTAATTTTTCAAGTAATCTCTGAGTTTTTTCTAGGTTAATTTTTCCACCTCTAAACTCATCCCGAATCATCGACAAAAACCACGTATGAGCACAAAAAAAGAAGTTAAGGAAATTCTCACAGAAAGTCATTAAGTATTTAAAATACCTAAAGAAATATTTGATTGCTCTTTAGTTTAATGCTTTTATTTTTATTTTTAAAGGATAGTCTATCTCGTGCTTAAATGACAAAATAATTCTATGATAAATAATATTTAAAACAAAACTAAGTAGGTACTACTCTGTAGTAAAAGTACAAAAGGGCATAACATAATAAAAAAAAAAATAAGCATTTGAGAAATCAAGTTGTTACTTCGGAAATACAGTCTATTGCCTGAAGACATGGACTTAGGAGGCAGCTGGACTTCAAGATCTCCCTGTCACTTGTCATCTCTCAGTTTCAGTTTCCTTACCTGAAAAGTGGGCAAATTAATACTTAAGGAAGGCAGGGGCATTAAATGAATTCATAATATATCACTGAACACAGTTTCTGCTACTAAGTGTTCAATAAATAGTAACCATGTCTGCTAATATTACCACTACGTTAGCCAAATGTCCAGCTACACCCATGTCCAAAAAAGCAACATTTTAAGTACCATCAAAAAGGGTTAAAAATGCCATGGTGGGTGTATATTTGGTGTAAAAGAGAAAAACTAAAATAATCAAGCTTACTTATTATATACAGATAAACTAAGAAAATTAGGACACTTCAATTTGAAAAACAAATGTTGAGAAGAATTAGTATGACAGTCGATAAAATCAGGAAAGGTATTGGTAAAAATTATCCAAAAATCCACTCAACTTTGAATTGCTAGAACTAATGGGAAGCCCTTAAATTGAATGGCTATGACAATGTGGCAAAGCTCATGTTCTTACAAGAAAAAGATACGGGAAGCTAGGAAAATGCAGAAAAGCTCAGGATGGATCTTGAAGGAAGTGGTTTATACTCAAATGAGAGGAACTTAAGATTAGCACTCTTCAAAAAGAATGAGAAGAGACTGGAGTAAGGGAGATAAATTGAGAACAAGAAGGGGAAAGAGGAACAGAAAAGATTTTTGAGCGGATATTTGTTCTCCATATTTTCATGACCTGCCGTTCTGTTTCTCCTTGCTTAGAAGTCTCTCTCCATTAGGTGTTGTCATGGGTTCCAAATGTAATTAACTCTGTCCCTTTGCAGGAAAGGAATTTCTTGATAGTCATCGGCTGTTGCTTTTCTAGAGAGAAAGCAGGGAACACACAGTTATTTGTTTGTTGTCTTTGTTCTTTGGAATTAGCTCACATTTAAATCTCACAGAAACCATACGCAAGATGTGGTCCCTGCACTCTACTGCCCTTGAAACTTTCAGGCTTGTTGTGTATGTTCTGACCATCTTCAAACCCACAATGTTTATAAATGCAGTATCCCCCACTGTCTGGCCTTTTTTCCATAAACTGCCATCGTATCTCATCTTATTTTTACTATTTTGTTTAAACACCTCAAACCTTTCAACATAACATGCTTCCATTGGGTTTGGGGCAGCTATACTGAGAGTCTGAGTATAAATCAATGCCGTTGTGGTCCCTTAAGGTGCAAAGGGCTGCCAGGCACTGTCTAGAAACTCTGGGCTGCCTCTCTAGATCCCTGACAACATATAAAGCACACAGAGACACACCACTTTTGAAGAAGGCTGTTCAGGATGCTAAGTTCTTAAAATCTTCAAAATATGTATAGCTGGTTGGCTGGGCTCCACGCTGTTGGGTGACTGTCATGTTTTTCTTTGGGTCTGAACACCCATTGTGATGTCATCAAAAGTTCCACGCTTCATAGAGAAAGCTTCTTTATGACTTCATTGAGAGACTCAGAGCTTGCCAGACAACTTGTTTTCATGGTTAGTCACAGTAATCTTAAGCTTGAACTTTTAACACCTTGATGGGAAAGGTGTCTCATGGAATGTTTTCTCATCCTTTGAACACTCTTTATTTCAGAAGCTTTGCTTCTGCCGCAACCAAATATGTCACTCAAGGTTCTGAGTAAGAAAGAGAAAGAAAGAGTAATTCGCAGACTGTTAATACAAGTTCCTCCAGGAGAATTTTCAAATGCCTTTGATGATCTCTGTCTGCTTGTCCGTGATGAAAAACTCATGAACCATCAAGGTGAGTGTGCAGGCCACCGGCACTGCCAAAAATATTCTGTACCACTCTTCATCGATGGAAATCCAGTCCTCTTGTCTCACCACAATGTAGTGGGTGACTACCGATTTTTTGACCATCAAAGCAAACTTTCTTTCAGATTCAACCTGCTTCAAAACCAGTTAAAAGATATCCAAAGTCACGGTATCATTCGGAATGAGGCGGAATACCTGAGAACTGTTGTTCTGTGTGCCTTAAAAGTGTATGTGAATGATCACTATCCAAAAGGAAATTGCAATGTGATGAGAAAAACTATAAAAAATAAGGAGTTCTTAATAGCTTGCATTGAGAGTCACAACTATGACACAGATTGCTGGAATGGCCTTTGGCAATCTAAATGGATTTTCCAAGTACATCCATTTCTAACCCAAGTAACGGGAAGAATTTTTGTGCAAGCTCACTTCTTTGAATGTGTCAACTTTCATGTTGTGATCTCCAAGGACCTGAAAGAAAGCTTGGAAATAGTCAACCAAGCTCAGCTGGCTCTAAGTTTTTCGAGGCTTGTGGAGGAGCAAGAGAATAAATTTCAAGCTGCAGTATTTGAGGAATTACAGGAGTTATCGAACGATGTCCTCAGAAAAATCATACGAAGAGATCTTCCAGTGACCCGCACTCTTATTGACTGGCAGAGGATACTCTCTGACTTGAGTCTGGTGATGTATCCTGAATTAGGATATGTCATCTACTCAAAAAGCGTGTTATGCAACTGCATAATATAAACGATTGCTCCCGGTAATTATCTTGACCTGATTTAGTTGTGTTCCTGGGGAGTGGTTATTTTCCTAAAGTTGAGAAGCCGCTAGAAATACCTATAACTTGACAATGCAGGTTTAAATTAGAGAAAAGCGTAGCAAGTAATTTTTACTCAGGGAATATTTACCAAGAAGGCAAAAAAACGGTGAGGTAAATGTGTTTCATGGTAGCCATCATCATCAAGCCAGACACATTTATTAGAATCTGAAATAGCTTTATAAAATGTGGCGCCAACAAATAGCCAGCCCTGATGGTCTAGTGGTTAAGATTCGGCGCTTTCACTGCCCCAGACCGGGTTCATTTCCCAGTCAGGGAACCACAACACCTATCCGTCGGTTGTTGTACTGTGGCGGCTGCATGTTGTTCTGATGCTGAGAGCTATGCCACCGGTATTTCAAATACCAGCAAGGTCAGCCATGATGGACAGGTTTCAGTGGAGCTTCCAGATTAGACAAACTAGGAAGAAGGACCTGGCCACCCACTTCCAAAAGAATTGGTCACGAAAACCCTATGAATAGCAGTGGAGCGCTAATATAGCGACAGAAGGTGAGAGGATGGTGCCAAAAGACCTGGCAGGGTTCTGCTCTGCTTTACACAGGGTCTCGAGGAGTTAGACTTAAGGGCACGAACAAACCCCAGAAGTATTATAGAGGTGGTCAGGGCTAAAGGTCTGTGTGTGTCTGTGTGTCTGTGTGTGCATCCATGTGTGTGTGTAGGAATGACTTTTGACTGTTTTGGGAACTGGAGAAGGTATACAAATGAAAGATACTCTGCAAATGATACTTCACATACTTCACATTATTCAATTCAGTCCTACACCAACTCCAAGAGGAGGAATTTCAATAGGTAACCTTAGGGTTGGATATTCCATGAAACCAACAGGTATCAAAAATCTAGCTCAGATGAAGGACTGTTTGTAAACTTGGATCCACTGCCATATACCTCCCCCCAAACACAAAAATTTGGGCTTCTTCAAATCCCTGGGTTTGTCTAATAACTAACATGGTCTTCAAAAAATCAACTGGAGAATCTTGCCTTGCCAAGCTTATATAGTTGAGCTCCTGTGAAGTCATCATTGTAAGCATTTACAAGTGCTTACTTCATGCCAGGCCCTGTGCTAAACGATTTGCACACAATTTTTCACCATTAGGCTTGTACTAGTAGCATTTCCATTTTACATGGGAAGAATCTAAGATTTTGAGTTGTTTAATTCATCCAGGCCCACAGGAAGTGACAGGTGTGTCTGACTCTAGCACTCATGCTCCTAAACTCTAGGGTATTACGGTTCTCCATGGAGGCCTGTTTCATTGAGTTGTGAACTCTACTATACAATGATTTAGGCAAGCATTCCACCTAAAGGATACCCCAAAGAGACTGGAACTGGCGGACTGCTGTTTTCTAGCCGAGACAAGTTACCTATACAGTCACCCTACCACTATTCCCAGCTGTGTCACTGACCGCTTGTGTCTGCTCTCAAAGAATTCCAAATGTAAACTCCTCTAATAAGATTGCAGAAGAACAATAGACAGGCCCCATCCCCCAATTCTGATTTATCTGAGAAGCAAAGTACTTTATATTTTGGATCCATGCAACTGAGAAAATGTCTAATGTCTACTTAATAGGCATCGGCGCAGACAAGATCCCATACAAGAATTTCTAAACCTCGAACCTCTCTACCTCAACTGGTGGTTCTTAGCGAATCTCAGGAGAATTACCTAGGGTGTATCTCTAAAAATTCAAATTCCTGGTACCCATCCTCAGATTCTGATTTAGTAGGTAGGGAAATCTACATTTTAAACAATTATCAGAGATGACTCTGATGCAGGAGGTCCCAGGACCTCCTTTTAAGAAATATTGCCCTAATCTTAAAGTAACACATCTTTGCTTTCTATTTACTTAATTAAAATCATTTTTTAAGAAAACTATTGCCCAATGAAGGCCATTTCTACTACTTCACTGGATTCACTATGCACAGACCAAGGATAGGCCTTCATCTGTCAAGTTGAAAAGGTAAGAAAAAAATTTCTAAAATAAAGCAGCAAAGAAAATTGCTCTCATAGCACGAAAATACACCCATCTAACAAAATCTTTAGCAAAAATTTGAATTTACATTATGGTTGTATATGTAAGTGTTGATTTTCCAGATCATTTCAGAATAGGACTCAATGGTTTACGGGACAATCACAGAGGCATTTAACTCCCGCTCTAACAGGGTTTTTGAATAATATTTATTGGTATTTCTGGATATAAAAGTCACATGTACAAATCATAGAAAATGTTTAAAGTATAAAGCATTTTGGCCTATTTCCTTCCATTCAGTTTTATGGAATTATTTTAAATATTAAGAATATACAGCATATAAAAATTTGTATCCTGTTCTTTTTGCATAACTTCATATATCATAAATATTATCCCACGTCATTAAAACTCCTTAAGCACATAATTTTAATTATTTACATGATATTCATACTTTTCATGCACCATAACAAGACAATCATTTCTCTATTCATATATAATTTAAATTTTTAGCATGTTATTTCTGTTATTAATTAGGCTATAGTGAGTGTCTCTATGCATAAAGCTTTGCCCAGACTGTGGATCATTTCCCTTAAGATGAATTGCAATATTGAAAAAATATGAACATATTAATGCTCTTTTTTAATTATTAATGCTCTTAATACGTATTGCTAAATTGCATTCCAGAAAGATTTAACAATTTATAATCCCTTCAGCAGCATAAGAGAGTGTCTAGCTCACCGTGGTATTCTTGGCAATATTGAATATCAAAGTTTTTCTTTGATAGACAACAAACAAACCTTAAAACAGTGTAAAACAAATAAAAAAGGTATTTCATTAACTTATGCTATACCAAAAGCATTCCCACAGTGATATTATTTGGTAGTTATTTTCTTTATATAGAGGCTGGCATAGCCAGGAAAACCTACAGTAACTACATCTTCTCTGTACTTTTCACAGACACACACACGCACACACGCAAATGCACACACACACCCCTACACCACACTTAGACCTTCACTGTGAATACACGTACATACACACATGCCTAAGCACATACCCATGTACAGAATGCTTCAGATCCTGAGGACTCAGCATAGTATTTTTCAATATTCCAGTGTTCTTTCCTCCCAATCCCATTCTCAACTGGAATGTAAGCTCCATCAGAACAGGGACTTTGTCTATCGCAAGTATCTAGTCCATCATTGTCTGTCATATGGTAGGTACTCAATAAATGAGTAAATGAAAGAACAAATGAACAAGGATAATAAAGATGTGAAGCATGGTAGGTTTAATTGGCCTTAAGATTTTGTAAACCATCAAACCTGCTGTCCCCTTAGGAACTCATATACCTCTACAGATTCCCAGGGCTGATGCGACCTCTCATTCTTTTTTCTTTTTTTTTTTTTTTTTGTGAGGAAGATCAGCCCTGAGCTAACATCCATGCCAATTCTCCTCTTTTTTTTGTAGAGGAAGACTGGCCTTGAGCTAACATCTGTGCCCATCTTCCTCCACTTTATGTGGGACACCGCCACAGCATGGCCTGACAAGCCGTGCGTCCGTGCGCGCCCGAGATCCGAACCTGGGCCGCCAGAAGCAGAGCGCACGCACTTAACTGCTATGCCATGGGGCCGCCCTTTAACCTCTCATTCTAAGGCAGTTGATTCCATTCTGAAGCTGCCATTTGCTGCCTCCTGTTCTGAGGAAAACTGTTGCTCTTTTCCCACTCCAAATGGAGAGAGATTTCTCCTCCAACAAGTTTTAAAAAATCAGGATCTTCAAAAGTCATATATTTCTTTCAATTTTACATGATCTTCTGTCAAAGATTTTCTGCCCTACCCCTTGGGGGGCTGGTCCAGAGGGTTAGTCGTATGACCATGTAATGTTCTACTCAAGCAGAGATCTGTGAGCTGCATACATCCCCCAACTTTCTTCTTTGTCAGGATGAGTCCCTGCTGTCCTAGCCTCAGGCTTGCCTTGAGAATGAAGCAGGCTTCGGCTTTCCTTCTTTGTTTGAACCTTCATTATAGTGTACAAGACCCAACTACTCCCTTCCACATATCATGCAGGTCTGGAATAATCAAACAGCGTTGTCTTGGACTCTCTGGATGTTTATGAAGGCCCCCTTCCATAGTTGACTGGATTTAGTGAATCACTGAAAAGTATTTCCAGGTCACTGCTCCTCAGCCAATTTTTGGCCATGTTATTGATTTATCTCACCTTCTCCTCAATCTTCTCATCATGACATACTCTTAGATTCTGGCCCTTTTACTTGGATAATTTCAGCAGCTTCTTAGGATGGACTACTATTCTTAAAGAATAGATTCCCAGTCTACCGCTTCCTAAATCTTAGTGAAACTTATCTCAACTGCATATCAGTCACTGGTTTCTCACTCCTGATGAGCAATCAATTTATTCTTTTCTATTGACTCCTGTAGCCTTCTTCATGGTAAGCTTTCCAATTTTTCTACTCTTTGTAAGCTTTCCTTTTCATCATTCCTTCACTTAGTAAATGACTTTGTCCCTTCACTTAGAAGACACATGCTTTCAAAAAGAGCTCCCACAGCTTTCTTAGTCTGCGCTTAAAAGTATATTTATTTTCTTCTCCTTCCAAATAGTCTCCAAGAAAGTGTATGTTCCTTTCTAAGACTAACTCCTCCTCCTGTGCACTTGATCCTGAATCCTTGATCTTTTGTCATCCAGGTTCCTGATCCATCAGTTACCTTTTTCCTTCTCGATTCCTCATTTTCTCTGGCTCGTCTTGGCTCCTCTCCTCTATCAGCAAACATTGTCAGTTCCAACTATCCTAAAAAATCTTCCCTACAAATTTCTCAGGTCCTTTCACCATGAAACTTTTCAAAAGATTATCACATTCTTTTTTTTTTTTTTTTCCTGCTTCCCTACCACTTAATATTTTCTTAAAGGAATGAATTTAATTAAGAGCCTGCTATGTTCTAGGCATTCTAC